AAAATTTTTAGACACAAATCATGTGACCAAGTAACACTGTAAAAGGTTGGATTTGACTTTTTTATGAAAAACTAACTGAAAATATTGTGCTATGTGTACATATAGGAAATAAATTCTGAATAGTTCTGCTTGAATGATAATATCTGATATTCCTACTTTCTTTTTCTCTTATTTATAATATTTTTGATTTATATGTAAAGTAACATTACTTTCATATTAATAGTACTGCAACTGGTACTAGGATGGCTCTTACGTATGTCAACATATTTTATGGCCATATTGAAAGTCAGTTCTTCAAGCAAAGCCCTGTGAAACGCTGTTAATTTTCATTTGGACAGCCAGTTCTGAATCAATGTTTTCTTAGGCTAACACCTTTCACAAGATAATCAAGTTTACTCTTGATTATTCCCCTACCCAAATTAACTTTCTTGACGTTACTATCTCTTTAAATGATGGCCCTTTACACACTGACTTGTACAGAAAACCTAATGACAGACAACAGTATCTTTACCACAAAAACTACCACCCCATCCTCATGAAACATAATAGATATTATCTACAGTCACGTACTTCGAATCAAGAAAATCTCTACTGATGAAACAAGTTACAGAAAAAAAACACCGTGAATCTAAATCAAACCATGTCATAAAGAAGTTATAATGACACTGAAATTGACTGATTGAAAGAAACTGACAACACTCAATAGAAACTCATCCTTAAACGGTGTAATGCTAAAGAATCAAACAGAACTTTTGTTATTATCTACCACTTTAAACTCAGAAATGTTTCCTGTATTCTGAAAAAATATTTCTATCTACTACAGCTGAATGATCACCTAACACATATTTTTCTTGATGTTCTCATTGTTTTCTTGTGGAGGAATAGATATCTTAAAGATAGTCTTGTTTGTGCACAATGAATTACAACCCACCACATAATGGTTTTCATCAATGTAATAAAGGTCTTTGCCTATCCTTCAAGTTAATAAAAACTGTCCAACAAATATGATCTAAAACCCTTTAAAATTACTTAAAAAATTACCACATTTATCAGTGTATAAGATAATCTTGGATTTTTTTAGCACATTAAGTGTATTTCTTCGAGGATCAGTGCAGAGGATGACCTCTATTGTCAAGTAAGTCTAAGATGTTACTTTTGTAAAGAAACTCTTAAGAAGTTATTTTTAAACTGTGCTAACCTGCACTCTTAGGGTAATCAATACAACCACAAGTGTGTTTTTTTATGCTCTTCAGATGCTACAGACAGCTTAATGCATCATAAGTCACAAACATGTAATAAACAACTTTACAAAGTTTTCATCACAGTCAAACTCCTTTTATATTTGAAAAAAAATACTAAACCTTAAGATATAGTGATCTACTATAAAACATGTTTACAAAATTAATGTACCTTACAGAAACTAACTTTTTTGATATAATATTAGCAATATTTTAGCATGACGGATGAGATCAATACATTTCAAATAAAAAAATGTCCTGATTAATTGTAATTAGCAAGTGAGATAAATAACTTCTAGTTATGAAGAATCGAGACAAATGATACAATTACAAATATGTTATTGTAACACAGTAGGTGGCACGATGTAAATGCACTAACTCAAAAAAGCAAAAGGAACAACGTAGTTTTCGTTAAACATGCTATTAACCGAAGAGTTCTTACTGGAATTATATCTTTGAATCTGTGTATAAGATGATGGGTTAAATAGGCACTGTTTTAAGAGTAAAAAAGTATCGTCTTATACACCGGCAAATATGGTACTTGCACAACACCATCTCATACAGTGTGAAAAATGTAACACTAATATGTAGGACAAAATTAAATTACTCTTGGAGAGCATTTCAACAACCATAAATCTTCAAATAAAAGTCCACTCGTTGTTACAAAGTTAAAAAATAAATAAAACTCAAATAGCTGTGCCTCTGGACTTTTATTTAAGGTATATGGTGGATTTCCTCTACTTACAACAACCATAAATATTCTATAAATACCAAAAAAAAAAGAACTCCATGTTGCCCAACACTTCAAACAACCCAATCATCCTATTAATGATGCGATTCACAAAGGTATTGAAACTAGTTTCAAAACTAAATCTGATACAGAAATGAAAGGAGCCTATTGGATCGCTATTTTAAATACTGTTCAGCCTTATAGAATAACCCTTGATTGTGGAATCAGTGATATTCAACCATTAATTAGTTCTCTGTTTGACAAATTGTTTTTTCTCATTTCACATATGGGTTGTAAGTTCTTTATTTTTTATCCCTAATATTTCTTAACACTTATTACTTATTCATAATAATTTTCCATATTATCTTTAATGTTTTTAGTTCTTTACTCTTAACATTTTCTTGCTAATTGATTTTCATATCTTTATTTTACTTTATCGATACTCAATATAGTTCCCCTTTAACCTACATGTCATTGAGACAAAACCTTTCTAACCTATTTATATCTAACATTCTCATTTTCTGTTGTATTGCACAACAGAAACTAGTCACACCTGCAACATTTTTTTTGGAAGCTAATCAAAACAGTTCCAGGTTGTACTGTGTAACTACGATGTCACTCAATTTTTCTCATACTTTACTTAACGTTGTCATTCCCAGTTTTGCCTTGATGAAAAAAGGTCTACTTGTCCAAAGCAATAGGGTTAAGGAGTGCCTTATTTTTTGTCTTTAATTTGTTTTTTGAATCTGTGTTTTCCCAACATTATGAATGTAAAGTAACATATCAGGTTTGATGCTGTCCACAATGTTTTAGATTCCTTTAACTTAAATTTTTAGAAGCTTTTTAGTTTATGTTAGGTAACATGAGCTATTAACTTAACGAGTTGTAATGCTGCTTTAATTAGTTAGACAATAAAAATTCACATTATACAATAAAACAGAACAAATAGTAGTAAATATTTTCTTTTAGGTCATGTTATGTTTAATGAAGTATTACAAGTTTTAGAGTCATTACTATCAGTTCAATAGAATCACATAAAGGCCTTTACTATTTGTATTAGTTCAATAGAATCACACAAAGGCCTTTACTATTTGTATTAGTTCAATATAATTACACCAAAGTCCTTTACTATTTGTATCAGTTCAACAGAATTACACCAAAGGGTGTGATTCTGTTGAACTGATAAAAATAGTAAAGGACTTTGGTGTGATTTTATTGAACTGATAAAAATAGTAAAGGCCTTTGGTGTGATTCTGTTGAACTGATAAAAATAGTAAAGGACTTTGGTGTGATTCTGTTGAACTAATTAAAATAGTAAAGGACTTTGGTGTGATTCTGTTAAACTGATAAAAATAATAAGGGACTTTGGTGTAATTCTGTTGAACTGATAAAAATAGTAAAGGAGGTTGAACTGGTTAAAATAGTAAAGGATTTTGGTGTAATTCTGTTGAACTGATAAAAATAGTAAAGGACTTTGGTGTGATTCTGTTGAACTGATAAAAATAGTAAAGGACTTTATTTTATGAATACTTAACATTTTACACTTACTGATAAAATAATAAAGTTTATGACAGAAAGTTACCATAAAGGTAAACCAACCTAAATAAGATATATTCTAAAGCCTTGTTGTATTTGTGGCAAAAATATGCATTATTTGGTAAGCTTGAAATTCCTTCAATAAAAGTACAAAATTCACTTTCTGAACACTGCTGACAGTAAAGGAGTTTAACTAATAAGGCCAACCTCTCTTCATTATTAATCATCTTACAGGGATGGGAAAATGGAGGATACTTGCTTTTAAATTCTATTAAAAACCCTATTACATCTATGTTCAATATTATAAGAGCTATTATGTCTTAGAAAAAACCTGTTTCTATATGACTAGAATTTTGAGTAAGTTTTTAATGAATAAAACCTTGAAATACTCTCTTTGGAAGAAAAAAAACAAAACAAATATATTCACTATTTGGGCCAATACTGATTGAGATGTATTTTGGCAAAGATGTTTTTGTTGTTTAGTTTTGGCTTTGTTTTCAAGAAAAGGACCATAGTAATTAGATCAATAATGTTGATCAGTAATTAGAGGAGGAAGAAGAAGAACTAGGTAAAGAGGTCTTTCTAATTACAAAGAAATTAGAAAATGTATGAAAACACAAAATGGTGACGTTTAAACACATCTAAGATTATGTTTTGTTTGAAAGTTTTTTAAACATATTACAACCAAATTACATTTTATCAATCATTTTTCTTAAAGAATTATAATGAATTTTACTTGTTACAGTCTTTATACAAGAGATACTACATTCTTTGTTAAAATATCTCTATAAAATCTATGTTCAAGTAAACCTTATATATATATATAAACAAAAACTTGTACATTAATAATGACTTACTGACAACTGAAAAAAAACAACAAAAAAACCACACACACACACACAACATAAACCTTATATATAAATATGTTCTTAAAGTGTAACAACAGATGCCATATAGTTATATCACAACTATTATAGGTTAGGAACCTAAATAATAAAAATGACTGAAAAGTTGCATATAACACATTATACAACTACAACTTTAAATTAAACAAAACAGCTGAAACAAGAATTTCAAAACGAAAAATCTTATTTTGTGACTAAAGTAACAGAAATAACAAAATTAGATCATGTCCAATTTATAAAAATTCCATACAAGCTTACATTAATATAAAAGAAAGTGCATAAAACTTAACAAATCATAATCACAAGTAGCTTGCATATAAATCTTTGATAAAATAGTTCAAATGGATTGATAAGTTTACAATCGGGTGACAAGAGTATATGCATAACTACAAAAATGAAAGAACAGACTGATTTGTTACATCTTTAACTGAAAAATGTCTGTCAAATCTGTAGTTGATTAATTTAAATGAAAGCATACTTCCTGTGTCCTTGCTTTTTCAAATTTAAACTATTTTGTACATTATATTTCAAGATTCATTTAGGCAGCTGGATAAAAAAAAATATAATAAAACTAACAATGAAAATTTAACAAAGATATAAAACAAACTGCTAGAGTAAATCCATCATTAAATAAACAACACAATTTTAAACTACATACACACTGGCAGGAAACTTTGGAACTTTCTTTTTGAACACTTAAATATTACAAGTAAATTCTAGTAATTTTAGAACCCACTAATTAAACTTGACTAGATTAACCTGGACTAAATTAATCACACTCACTTCCTGTCACGACAGAGATATAAGTGTTTTGATATTAAAGCATATACTGGCCTTGTTCAGATCTTAGTGATTAACTTTCTGCGATGTCAATGTGTTTAACATATTCTTTGGTAGGGTTATAGTTCGCGCCAAGAGTCAAAACATTTAACATAGATGATCGTACATTCTTCATCAGTTCTGGAATGTCTTGAGTTGTCAAACCATCAGTATAGACAGGAGGCAAAATGTTAACCACAACTGTACCTACAGTTGAAAAATACATTGTTATTCAGTGATATGGTAAAAGCTTTATAAATTAAATATATTTTTGAGGAACTGAAATTAACAACTTTCAAAAAACCATAACATCAAATTCAACTAAAAAAAAAAGAGAGAATATTTCAATCTGCAAGGCAAATTTTCAATTCGCAAATACACATCTGTAATTCCAGTCAATTAGATTAAGATAACACATCTCTTGTTTTCTCAAATAAATATTTCAGAGAAGCAATTAATAATTATTAATTAGGCTTTAAGCATTTAAATTCAAGTCAGTTTGCACTAAAGGCCATGATGACAGAAACGGAATAGTTAGACTACAAAAAAAGAATTAAATCCTATATTAAACAGTTAAAAAAAATCTAAGTTCATAAGAATGTTGTTTTGCAGTATCTTATTAAACACAGAATCTTAAATTACTTTTCCTACTGTAAAGGTAATATTTTGATAATTGACACAAGTTTCATACAAGTGGTTTCTATTATACAGAAACTATTATTTCTTTAAAATTGTTTAACTTATTTTTAACTACAGTAATTTATTACTCGAGTCAGGGCATAATTGTGAGTTGTGAATTGAAAAATGTGTTACAAAATTATTATCAGCCTTACTGTGATATAATGTCACACAAAGTCTAAAGGTCACACTTCATTGGCATAAAGCATTATATAACATAATAAGTGACAATTTTAATGCTGGAAAAATCCTAATCAGGAGAATGTGTACTGAAAACCATAATATTAGGGTGTCTGTTTCCACTACACAAAAACTTCACTAACCTCAATCATCTAATAGTTAATTATACATGCAGACAAAAACCAAAAACAATTTCTAAATGTAAAAGAATATTTTAATACTAGTACGTTACTGATTGCACACGAGTTACCTGTGTCAAACTTTTTCTCACAAACTTTGTAGAAGCTCGAGTATGACGAAAAGACAACCGGAATAATTGGAACCTGTTCAAGAGAAAAAAAAAAAAAAAACTTTTGATCGTGTGTATAACCATTTATTGATAGTTCATATGTACACCAAACTTCTGAATTTTGAGGGTAATGTGTATTATCTCTTGAACACATAACAATTAAGTTTTATAATTTTCATGGTTGAAGAACACTAATGTTTGATGAAAGTTTATTAAATACTTAGAAAGAGAACCCTTATGTAATAGCATGTGATATCACTCTAGTTAACTTTTCATACCTGAGCTTGTACAGCAATATGAAACGCTCCTTTTTTGAATGGTAGCAAGGTTGAGTTGTCATTTCTTGTACCTTCAGGGAAAATCCACATTTTCACCTACACATCAGACATATGTTGGATTATGTACACTGGAGAAGGTATAAATCAGAATTCTGAGGAACTCAAAATAATTCTTAATTATGTATACAGGGATGTATACTGTATTTGTAATAATTCTGAAGTATCATACACGAATACTGTGAAACTTAGAAACATTGCACTGCACACTTGTCAGATTCAAGGATGATAAGTAGCAGCACAGAATCATATATTTTGCTGGGTTTTCTTGACAAAAACTTTGAACAAACATATCCTGGCCTCCAGTGTCATCTGACTCGAATTCTTGTGGCCATTTTTCTTTAGAGTTATTCTAATGTAACCCACACACTGTATAGGAGCTTAAGGACGACTTAGAAGTTGTACAGAATTTCCCACTCAACAGTTCAGTGATGTATCCAATGATTCATTACACGACAACACAGAGGACATATTCAGCATGTCATTCACAATTTATTGAATTACCCATGTGTGTAGTGCATTGTTGTCAAATTTTTGTGCCATTAACATGTCATATGACTGTTATTACAAATACAAAGTGAAGCATCTATAAAACAAATTCGACCCGTAATTTAGCTACTTCATTAACTATAAACTTACATTGTTTTCGAGGAGAATCAGACACGATAGACTGTAACAGATTTGAAGCTTTATGAAGTGTAGTAGCAGTTGGCAATTTGTTGCATATCAAGACATGGTCCACTTTTACACTCCACGCAGATGCACTCCATAAAAACTTTGAATCTAACATTATGTGTATCTATAATTATCAATATATATATATATATCCACTGAAACTAATATAATCTGACAATTAAAGCCAGAAGGGCTTGGCTTATGTGACATTTTGAATGTCAAATATGGCAAGAATTGTTATACAAAAGTTATATAATTTCCAACTTATGTTTAATCAAAATAATTACATGCACAGCCCAATACCTGTAAACTTTCACACTAAGAAAAACAGCTTGTAAAGACTAAAATTATATTTGAATTCAAAGTAAGAAAATGTGACTTAGATTTCTTATAAACACATAACACTAAGGTGATACATACATTGATGCATAACGACACACCTACAGATCATTATTGTAATGCATGACTTAGTCATATAAAAATTAAAAATGAAAACCAAGAAATAAGGTCTAATTGCTAGCCAAACTGCTTACTGTCAAAACAACCTAATGTTCATAAAACATGACTTATTTTCACAAATACTGTCAATAATATATATACGTTTATTTCCTTAATTTTTGTACACAATTTCAACCAGTTTCTTCTTACTGTCAATCAAAGTAACTAAAATACTGTAAATAAAATGGAAGAAAATGATCTTATAATTTTTATGACCTGTGTTATGAAATAAAAAAGATGGATGTTCTAATTACTTTGACTATCATAATACATCTGTAGCTTTTTTATAAGGTACATATATAATGAATGAATTGTTTATTGTAATAAGATAAATGTATTCAAACATGTTACTTCATTACACCTAACAGTTAAGGTTTTGTTTTTTAGACCTTAACACTGAACATTTAACTAAGCAGGAAATGTTATTCTCACCCGTTTTTCTTTCACTTCTTTCACTTTTGTGTTAAGTGTGTTACGAGCATCCTCCGAGTTGCAGCGATCAAGAAAAATGAAGCCAGCTAACCAAGATACAATCCCAAATGGACCCGTAAACAGCAACTCCCTCTTCAGGACAGCAATACAAGGACTTAACAGAGGCCAAATGTACATCATGCCTGTAACGTCGGACACTCGAGTTATTTTCAAGTTTCAATTAGAGAAAACAAATAACAAGTTTGCCAATCTTAAGAATCAAATCTTTGAAACTTAACTGTTCAATAATCACCTCAAAAAAACCCTGAAAAGTTTAATTTTAACACAAGTCACACATATAATCCACATATCTTGTAGGCACCGAGCTTATATAACAGCAAAAAAAAAACACACACAAATCAGAAATACACCTGTATTAAGTAAAAATATACACATAGAATTTTATTTTATCAAATAAAACATAAACTCTTAGAAAGAACAAAATGTTTTTAAAGATGAAACACTACACAAAAAATTTCTTTTTCACTGTGGTTTTGTTTTGAGGACAGGAAAATGAGAAGAGTATTTCAGTCTCTGGTTGGGATTCTTCAAATGGACTGGTAACATTAAAGTTCTATGACAGATGTAAGTCATTTGTACAAGATGCAGATATATTTGCTTTGATTACTGCAAAGATTATAACATAAAGTTTTCTGTGTGCCTTACAACACCTAAGGTTGAATATCAATAATAAACTCAATCTTTTGTAAACTATCTGTTTTTCAATCATTTCTATTACAAAATCTCTTTTATGCATATCACACTCACACAGAAAAACCTAATATTATCTGTACTACCCCAGAACTTTAAAAAATTTTGAATTATTTCAGAATGAATTTTATAATTTACTTTTAAAATTAAAGTCTAAATTGGAATACAAAAAAAAGTAATTTTCTTATAAACTTATATGCTAAATTACTACTGAAATTATTTTTTCCACTGTTGTTTCCTTTGCAATCTTTTGGAAACAGTGTTCCTAGTGGTATAGTTTGAGATGCTAGTAGGTTAACCTTCGTCTGGCTTAAGAGATCTTGGGTTCAGTTCATTACCAAGCCAAGTAAGTAATAATAATAAAAAACATTATCAAAGAAGGACTGGTACCCAACATGGAGCCATCCATAACCCTGAAATATAGTCCAAGAATGGGCCTTATGTGTGAGAGGAAGAATGTAGTAATTTGAAAGGTTAAAAATGTTCATTATTAGTTAGTAGTTACTAGTGGGTTAGCCTTTTAGCTCATTTTGCAGAGCACTTGTCCACATCTGGTATGAAAGATGTACTGGATTTGATACCATGCCAAGAAGATAAAAACAAAATCTGATTACTACACTAGTTTATCTCTATTTTTTTAATGTCTTCATTACAATACTTTATTTTTGATGTTTAATGTTTGTTTTCTTTAAAAATTCTAGTAAATTTTATATGTTATATTTATTAGCTTTTTTTTTATATCTTAATGCTCTAGAAGTTGGTTTTTAATAATCTGATTTTACTGAAAAATGGATTTTACTCCATGAAAACAGCAAAAAAAAAGAAGAAAAATAAATTATCAGTGAGAAAGACTAAGAACTATTTTTTGTTTCTGCATATTTTTCATACTTATTTTTGGATTAATTTTGTATACAATCACAGAATATGTACCCAGTATATCCAAAGAGCTTTGGTGATTGCAGACTAGAATACAAGGTTCTTTTGTTTTCAGTCGCTCTTCATTTCGAACTTTCCAGTTGACACCAAACAAGGGGACCACGATATGATGAACCACCCATGAGTTATATCTGCAAAGAGTTAAAATTATTTAGAAGTTTGAAAATAACTCATCAGAAGTTTTGGTCCAATATGAATAAAACCTTTTTTTTTTTATTTTCAAGTATTAGAAATAGAATTACAGAATAGTGTTCAGCCTGTGACTCTTTCACTTGCTTGAAACTTCAAGCTAGGAAACTTAATTCTAATAAGTTATAATGGCTTTTAAAAATATAATAAAAAGTTTTCTGTTTAATACGTCTTTGTGTGTATTATATATATATATTTACTGGCTTTCCACATTCTTGATTCAAAATCACTTAAACTTTTTGAAGATGCTCTATGAATATTCACATTAAATATCACACATGTGCACACACATCTATATCTATCTATCTATATATACTAATATATCTGTACAGCCACATACCATTGAACGTATAATAAAACACCCTTGCATTCTATGAATAGTAATAATCTTTATTTTAATTGAGTCAGACCAGTTTCATGCCGATCTGGATGTTTTGTTACGAACATTTAGTTACTGGACACTTTGTTACCACCACATTGTTGCTAGGACAACTTGTGAACAGTGCATTCTTACTAAATCATTTATGTGACACTGTAATTTTTGTTATGAATACTGATTTTGTGACAGGTAGTTTTTTTTAAAATCTAAAATTGATTGGTGACAACAATAAAAAATGATAATAGATCATAAACTGTATAATCATTTGAGGACCATTCAAAAATTACGTAATGCTATGGGGGTGAGAGGGTCTTTAAGCCTGTATTACCATGTTACATAAAACATTTATTGTAATTTAACAGACTTTGATTTGAATTCAAAATGGCTTTAATAACTTGAACATTTGCAAACATAATACATGTGTCATAGTGTTAAAAAACTTGTAACGAAACCTTTCTTAACAAAGTGATGGTAACTTGGCTGCCATAACGAAATGTCCCAGTCTCATTTCATGACTTATAAGTCATTCTCCAGCATTCTTATAAAAAAAGGAATGTATAGCACCTTAGAGTGCATATCTTATATGTATAACTGCACAGTACTAGTTCATACTTCTCTATAGATCAAAAGTAACTATATCCAAAGTTTTAAGTTCAAGAAGTCCACCCTAAGATGAAATGCTTTACCTCTCCTCCCTACAAAACATCAGTATAATCTTGTGTATATTACACCATACAATTGTATTTAAGAGTAAGAGTGAATGATATATTAGAGATGGGTTCCACTTTAGCAGGTTAGGTATTAGTGTGTTTATAGAAGTTCTAAATATATTCATTAAAGATAATATAAACTAAAAAGGGCTTTGGAAAATAAACAAGTTAAAAGTATAGATATGGCAGTAGGAGTTTAGAAGTAATCTTAAAGACAAATATGCCAAATTTAAGGATAAATAGTGGAGAGAATACACTTAGTTACTATTACTTGTATTATAATGTTAAGTAATATGGAATGAAATAGATGAGCTCAGGGTTTTAGTTGAAATGAACTATGATATAATAGGAATTTCCAAAACTTGGTTAGAGTTGGAGAACACTGATAACAGGAATTATTTTGAAATTTTAGATTATAAGTTATATAAATTTAATAGTGATAGACTTTTGAAAACAAAAAGGAGGATGGCTCTTTATACAAGAGATGAACTGCAGCCTGTTAGGATGGATGACAAAAGAAATAGTAGTCAAGAAGTTGAATCTACATAGGTTACAGTTAGAGGGCTTCAAGGATAAAAATTTATTAATTTGAAACTTTTATAGTCTATCTGATTAAACAAATGAGTTGAAAGAGAAATCATATAATGAGATCAGAGTTGTTAATATTAAGAAAAGTGATGCTATAATTATGGAAAACACAATGATTAGGACAGTATTGGAGTGTGGCCAGTTAATCCATATAATCAATGACCTATGAGCAGTGTTTACATCTATTAGTGTCATGTAAACTAATTAATTAATCAAAATTTGCATTTCCAATTATTTTAACAATCAACTAATCATAATTATATACTGTCTCAAGAAAATAATCCACTATTCAAAATAAAGGTTTATGATTATTACTATTTTCGATTATTCCGGCTATTCAAGTACTTGAAATATTACTATTATATTTTTTTATTATTACACACAAAGCTATATTACGGACTATCTGTGCTCTGCCCAATTTTAATAGTACAACTTATTTTTTTATACTTCAAGTTCCTCCAAGGGTCTTAGGTTCAATTTCCATTGCTGCCAAACTTTATTGATCCTGTCAGAGAGCTTTAGGAAGTTAGAATTTTTTTAAACCTGGAAATGTGTTTTAGATAGATACTCACCTCTGCACCAGAAAGAGCTATTACTTCACCTGCACTGCTGTGTCATTTCCTGCACATGCCACGAGCTTTGAATAAAATTTCTACCTTTCATGTGTAAATGTCTATTGCACTGACTTACAATAAAATCATTAGACTTTAGCCCTCTACCTATAGGACAGCAAGCAACGCATCCTTCATGTGCAGTAATCCCCACATGAACACAGACTCATTCTTCACAAGGCAAACTGAATGCACCAGAAGTGAGGAGGAAGGGTGAGTGTTTATGCAGAGAGGTGTCTATCTGAAGTACATTTTCGAGTAACGAAAATGTTAACTTCAGAAATGCTACTCACCCCTCTGCAACACAGAAAAACTAGAATCCCGCATTGAAGATCGTGGAGAGGTCGGTACAGAAAAATTATAAAGATGAGCTCTTTTCAGCATCAGAAAGGAAAAGTCCATGAAGTGAGACATTTACAAGTGCTGCCTAACGGGTAAACACTTAGTGGAAGACTGCATCTATCTGTAGCATGGAATAATTTTCAGCCAACAGAGGTGGTAGAGTAAAAGAAATTGCCATAACAATATTTTTTCTGGGTGCTAATGTGTTACTAAGGTGGATGGAATAGCAGATCACTCAACCATCCACTACTGTACAGCGAATAGTGGAGTATGAATATATAGTGTGACTAGGGCTATAAGTCAGGCTGTTCCATATTGTAGAAATAGTTATTTGAGATACTCACCAAAAAATTCAGGTGCATGGATAGAATCCTAGACCCTTAACCTTAGGAGAACCAAGACCCATTAAGTTGGATCTAACCACCAGGAATGGCTTGATTCAAAACATAGTTGGGGTATCCTATACCTCACTACCAGGTAACAAACACCCCAGCCCTTCTTCACAAACATGGGGTGCATCCATCTCATATCAGTTAGATTTCACTGCCTGATAAGGAACCCCCATATAGACTTCCTCAGTAGCTTTGGACTGGGGGAACAAAGGTTTTCCCATACTCTCCTAGCAGAAATGGAAGAGAGGAATTTGGATGGATAAAAATACCGGAAAGGTGCATGGACCATTGTTATGGGGCACAATCATCTGGAATTCAGTTCAACACTGTGGGTTACCATGACTAAAGACAGAAGGCATGTTCCAGGTGTGAGGGTAGGCATACACCAGGTGCTGTTGTTGTTTTTACCACAAGTGAAGAATGACCTGAAAGATTTAATATACAAGGACACCACTAAAGCAATTTTCCAGAAAACCCCATATCAACAGCAGGCACTGAGCATGAACAAACAGGCTTAACATTTTCTGTATTCTTCTGCTTAATACAGATTTTTGGTAAGTATTTCTTGTCAGGCAACACTTGCCACTGGTGAGTTCCATCATTTTCATAGTACAGATATAAATATATATAGTTAGAATAAGGTGGTTGTGAGACCTGAAAAATGAAAGGATAAAAATAAACAATTCACCATTACAGCCATTGTGAAGTTTAAAATGGCAACTACAGGGAGATGAAAGCCAGGGTAGGTGGTTAAGTAAAGGGACACTAATATGTTAGGGGTTGTCCAGATCTCCATCTACAAGATCTCACACTTATATTATTAAATAAGGAACTTTTCAAAGAACTAGAAATCCTGTGGGTCAATAAAACCTTTAATGCTTTATATTTGGATGGGTGTTCTGCTTTTTCGGTACAGTAACACTAACATATACTGATGTTTAAACTATATCTAAAACAATAATAGTTCCAAATAGTCTTATTTGTTGTTGTGGGTGCTGTCATTTGTATTAATCATTTATAGGATATGATGATTACAAATGAAATCATGAACCCGTTTTTAAAACGTCCATCATAACGCTGTATCTAGAAATTAGAATCCTAACTGTATTTAAAATATTTAGTAATGGAGCCTAAAATGTCAATCATAATACCCTAATTAGGTAATTCATTATTTACATAGTGATCGATCTAGTGTGACTGCTGTTTTTTAATGGTAAAAATTTGACTTGTACTAATTATTATGCACAGCAGTTAGGTTTACGATACATATTTTACTAATGTTATTTTGTTGTCACTAGGATTTGCATTTCTCTTTCCCAAATTTTAAGCAACAACTAGTGAAGAAATCTACGCTAAAAACGTTTATTTTTTAAGCGTTATGTTGAAGATGGAATTAGGAAAATTCCATGATATTTTACTAAGTCTGACTTCTAAGTTTATCGTACCTTGGCGTTAGGCTTAAGAAATAAAGCTAACTTACAGAATATTCTTCGGGTCTCCAGGACGAAATATAGACAGTGGAATTGTCACTGATGGGACAATAATCAGCACTAGATAATAGCATACTAATTTGGTGTAGAACTTAAATGTTGAAGAAATGCAACAAAACAAATGCAATAATAAAAAAGAAAACAACACAAAAACAAGTAACTCCATTTGTTTACTTCTCTGAAGCGCTACCTAGTAGAAGTAAAAGCTATTTACATATTTTGATTTGTATGATTATATTTTGTGAAATATTTATTAATTGCTTATAAAATTAATTTAAAACTGGTCTGGTAGCCACTTTTTATTTATTCATAAAATAACGCATTAATTTTCACATATTGTATAATTGAAACAAAATTTATATCAGAAAATGAAAACATAAAAAACCTGGCGATTTAGTATTTGTACTTTTATCAAATCACCCGGGCTACAAAGGATGAGACTGACACAGGTTTAGCACAGAATGCAAATGTTTCATGAAAATCTCCAAAACTTACAACACAAACAATAATACCCCACACAATTCAATGTAACACTACAGATTATAAATGAGCAAGTGGTGGTTGTATTGTGTGTAAAAGAAAAAAAAAGTAACCAGTTGGCGCAATGAAGACTTTATTGAACAAAGATGCTTCTGCTGGTACGTGTTCTTCCCCCTGTAAATTAGATTAACATATAAAAGAGAATCACTAAAAGAGAATGTCTCCATGTGAAAATGTAAAACAGTAGAGTTAACTTTCAGTGAAATACCTGAAAAATGCAAGTTCCTACTCGGATTTAACCACAACAATGTTCTGTCGAAACATGTAGTATGTTCCGACAAAATAAACCATTTCACTATGCTTATAAGTCGTTGTTTGCGAACTTATTATTACACCAACAATAGGCAAAAAATAATACACTACATAGCAATATTCCCCGTGCGTGTAAAAGGTTTCTCTGAAAACACAAAAAAATATATAAACAGCATAAAGTTAGGACAGTAATTCTTTAAATCAGAGTTTCCCAAAGTGTGAGGTGCCTCTCCCAGTAAGGCACGAGCGATTAGGGTAGAATCAACATTGAAAATTAAACGTTTTAACATATTTTATTACTGAAAATATTAAGTAATTACTTCAAAACATATAGCATTTTAATGTGTAGTATATCTCGTCACTTAACTCACTCTTTCACCCATTATTATTTTTTTTTTAAATGAGAGGCTTGCGCAAGAAACCATATTTATTAAAGGGTCACGGATGACAAAAGTTTGGGAAACGCTGCTATAAATACATAGATGATTCAATACCTAATTGAATACATGAGTGGATAGTACACCAGCATTTTTAAGAAGAAAATTCAGCAAGGAATCCCGGATCTTACTACCACAAGACTGAGCGTGGTCCAATGATTAGCGTGCGGACTACGTATCTTCGGGTCCAGCGTTCGCGTCCTGTTGCCATAAAAGAAAAAAAATCTTGATCCGCACTTTGAGGTCGTGGGTGCGTTATAAGGGTGATGGTCAATTCGCACTATTCCGTCATATAAGAGTAGCCCAAGAGCTGACGGTAGGTACTGTTGACTAGCTGCCTCCCATTTAATCTACCATTTCATAACTAAAGACTGCTGGCGCAGATAGCTGTTAAATTGCTTGGCGCGAATATCCGAAAACAAACAAACAAAACATCACACAGTGTTCCTTTCAAAATGTTCCTTGAAGTGTTCCCTTCAAAAGTTCCTTGAAGACGTCAACAGATTAGAAGGCGACACATGTAGGTTATAAACTAATAAGTAATTAGTATCATTAAATAAAAAAGAAGAGTAACTAATAATTAAACTTCGGTCATCGTATAGGTTACTAACCATGACAACGATAAGATATATAATGGATTTTTTAATTCGAACTACTTTCTTTGGCAGTTTGAGAAAGTATTGACATGATGAGCCTCACGTATTGTATGTATGAATTCTTATAGCAAAGCCAAATCAGGCTATCTGCTGTGTCCACCAAGGAGAATAGAATTCGTGAATTTAGACTTACCTCTGTCCCTCCGGGGGACATCTCACATATATATAAGTTATGTGTATCTATATACTTAAAAGAGTAACATGTGTGGCAAGCTTTTAAAACTTTTTTAAACTATGCAAAAATGAAATTAGGAGTAGGGAAGTACAGACGACGCCACCGTATGCGTAAGGTGTGGTTAGTGTAGACAGTACTCTGCTTTGCAAAGATAATGGATCTGACATCCCTCAGAGCCCCAGCCTCCATCTCAGACAGCAGTGTTTACGTGATAAGATTTTGTGTATTAATTTCTTCATTTCTTTATAGTCACTTAGAATACCGGTACCGTGATCCTATCGAGTTTTAATACTTGCCCTCAATACCCAGGTTTTAAAAGCATTTCTAGATCTTGTGTTTGGTGAGCATCACATGTTGCGGAATAAGTTTGACCTAGCAGTCATTTAGACACCCCGCACGGCCATCAGATTCATTCAGAACTCTATGTACCTAACATCATACGTGAGATGTCTAGGCAGTACTGCCTTTACATTTTATGAACGTTGTGCATTCAGATACAAAATAACACAACCAAAAATGTATCGTATGCGAAGCACGAGTTTTCCCTCTAGCATTGTATTAATTTAATTTAGTTTATGAGCCACAGCTTACATTTCAGTAAGGGAAGACGAAACTACGAGTAGCACAAGATACAAGAAACATTTCTTTATGACTAAACTGTACTTACATACACACTGAATCAGTCTGAAGTTACAATTTTTTTCAAGTATCCTACACTGCATGTTTGACATAAAAGGCTTTATAAAGAATCACATGAAATACAACAGAATTAGTTTTATATAATTTTAGTCTCCCACATACCGTGGATCGGAGGTAAGTCTGAGTACTTAGAACGCTAAAAATCGGGTTTTGATACCCACAATAAACACAGAAAAGATAGCCCATTTATGTAGCTTTGTGCTTAACATCAAACAAAATACAATGTTCTGTAACGTTTACGCACACTGTCCACCACGTGGTAGAACATGGGAATAAAAAATTATCTAACATTACAGGATGGAATTTTCTTGGAGTTGTATTTAAGATTCCATTTATCTTTTGAAGCATGACATTTATTTGTGACGACTTACATTAACGAAAATAGTGTTAAAACATTTGAAATTGATTTTTTGCACACATCATTTTAAGAATGTGTTAAGAGTGTTTCAAGATAGAACCCAGAAATTGATTATCGTTCAAGGCTTGAACCAATGGTAGTTAGTAAATTTAGGATCTATATACATTCTTTTTCAACCACAACGTTTGCCACTACTTTTTATCGTAAAATTAACTTTATCAGTTTTGCTTCTTTATTTAAATATGTCAACATTCATAATATGTAAAATTAATGAATAAAGTGAAAATCACGTGACAGCTGTGTTTGATAAGTGGGTGAAACCGATTCGGACATAGGTATTTACAGGAAACTGTATCAGACGTGCTTAATTAGCCTTGTAATTAATTGTTTTAATGTATATTTAATAAGTACCCTATAGATCGGTAATGTTTACCGTCATCAACCACGAAGTGAATTTAAAATCAATTAACGTCCATTTTCCAAGCACAGAGATTTCTGATCAGCTTATCTGAAGATGAGTTTGGAAGTCTCTTTAATATCTAGTACATGTTTATGTCACTTATTAATAATACATGTATCACAGTAAAAAGTGACTAGTGTTGAATTTAACGTTTTTCAGTCTACAAAAAAACTAGGAAGAATATATCTATCTATTTAACAAAACCGAAGTTTCTTTCCGTGCACTTTATTTGTTTGCAGTCCATAAATATTGATCCTGTTGATAAACGAATATTTATTCGCCACTACATGTTATCTGCTAACGAGATAACGTCGTATTAATACTGCTGTTGAAAAATGTGTTTGTTTGTTTTGAATTTCGCGCAAAGCTACACGAGGGCTATCTGCGCTAGCCGTCCCTACTTTAGCAGTGTAAGACTAGAGGGAAGGCAGCTAGTCATCACCACCCATCGCCAACTCTTTGGCTACTCTTTTACCAACGACTAGTGGGATTGACCGTCACATTATTACGCCCCCACGGCTGAAAGGGCGAGACATGTTCGGTGTGACGGGGGATCCGAACCCGCGACCCGCAGATTGCGAGTCGAGCTCCCTAACCACCTGGCCATGCCGAGCCTGAAAATTTTGAAGGTACAGTTCTACCCATTTCGCATTTGGAATCTTTTCAAAACAATCTATGTTCAAAACATTTCCAGTTTAAGGAAATATTTTCAGGTTAGAATAGGGCTAATGGCAGGAATTATAGATTAATCAATTTATGTGACGTTATTTCACTGTTTTAGAAATAAAAAGCTATGTGCCCTGAAGAAGAAAACCATCACTTGAATCACTGAATCAAAATGTGATGGATTGAAAAGATTTTAACCTATTGCCACACTCACTGATATATCTGATAACATCTTAAAGCAAGAGCGCTTAGCTGTTCTGTTTAGAATATCCTGAAAATAAACAGTGAAGTCAACTTATTTTGATGATCTCCACGCAACCTGCTGCATACTATTGTAATTCAACAATTCAATGTGTGGTCTTTACCACAACCTGCTGT